CAATAACACTAATTGTCTTGATGCCTGTGAGATACCATACCATACCATACACACTTTATTTATGAAGTACTTTATGCACCGGACAGGATCAAAGTGCTGTACACAATCATAAAATACAATGCAATTATAAAATAAAAAAAGAGTATAAAATGCATATTAGTATACCTAGATAGCATAGAGATAGCCTGGCCAAGTGGCTGAAGAAGGCAGTAGGCAGATGTCCATTGTAGCAGGTGGTTTATTTACATCACAAAAAACAAGGGTGCAAAAAAAAAAGTATTTACAAAAGCAATTTCCCAAAGAAATAACTTATAGGTTTAACATGGTTCAACAGAACATTAACTGAACTTAAATAAACCATAATTAACATCAAGTGCACCCAACTACACTGACCTGGTTCTTTGTTCTGAACCTCACAAATCTCTTATACCTGTTTGGCCTGAAATACAAAATGGACTCTTGCATTAACAGATGTGGCTAATTCATTTACTCATTAACTGGCTTGTGTTACATACAATAACTTTAAGTAACATCTTCAGAATAAATACCATACAATTAAATCTACATAAAAAATTGGCAAGGTTTCAAATTGTTAACATGAAAATTTAAAGGGTTTTCACTCCCCCCCTCTTCCTCTGGTACCTCCCTCTGATCACAGCTCTACACATGAATTTCTAATTGCAGGAAGTGAGGTCACACTTCCTCCTGAAACACAGGTAAGGTAAGTTTGCCAAAATAAAACACAAAAGTGAAATAATCAAACAAAACCTAGGAAAGTTATAAGCCGATTTAAACCAAGATGTTATACTAAATTATCTGTAAAAATGCAAACATAAACAAACCCGGGATAGTAAATGAATGCAAACTACAGAATAAAGAGATGGTTAAATCAAGCAAACAAGAAAACAACAAATGTATAAACTGAGACAAGTGGTGTTCTCACCCACTTTGTCACAATGCCAAAATGAGCCCAGCAGATTTTACTGTCTCAAGTGGAGCAGTACGGCTATTGCCATAGCGATCCGCTTGTTTTATGCATATAAATAGCTTTATTATAATTATGCAGGGAGTTTTAGATTATATGGACACTGTTGTGTAAGTAGAACAATATACTAACATTAAAGATGATAAGTACAGAATTCATGCTCTTTTCAGACCTAGATTTTTTTTTTTTTATGCGGTGATGTGAAAATAATGTGTCCCTGCAAGTCATCCACAAGTCTTCAGTGAAATCATAGATAAATAACAATTTGAACAAAAACATATTAAATTATCAATTTATATAGATATTATTGCTTGTAAATATCAATTTTATGCAGTATGATTATTGATAAAAGTAGATAAGTAATGACAATGGAAAAGATGTTCACCCCAGGATTTAAATCTGTAGGAATTTAATCCGCTATACCTTTACCCTAATGGATCTTTAAATATATGCGTTTATTCGTTAGCAAAGGCTTCAGGAAAGTATAGTTTGTCTTTATTTAGAAAACATGGATGTTGTGCTTGTTAATTTTCCTGTTGGAACTGTGTAGATTGACCCTATGTTTCTGGTGCCGATCCACTTCAGGCCACCCCTCAGTCTACATTGGTTGTTGCCTGGCCACCCTTAGAAAAATTTCCTGGCTACGCCTCTGGCTGTGTTGCTTATTTGGTTTCAGCCTGAAACGCTTTACAAATCATCTTACAGGCCAAACCTTTCATCATTCATTAGCGTCCTGCAAAAGTTTTCATAATATTTAGAGTTTTGTAACCGTGCACACAGATATTTACTATTTCTTTGCCACATGCCATTTAGGAGGACACAGCAAGCATGTGGCAGAACAAGTTCTGGTCAAACAGAACTGGTGTTTATTATGCAAAATGCTTTGTCTGTTGAGACACAAACACTTCATACATCCCTAAACCATCACCACTCTGAAACATGGTAGTGGCAGCATAATGGAGTTTTTTGAAAGATGAATGCAGATAAATACAGGTAATTTTTATTATTTCATTGTAATTTTATCTGGTAGACCAGCACAAATATTATTGTGTAAATTGTATACATTTACTTACTACAGCATGCCTTCATTTCTAGTCCTCAATTTTTCATGCCTCTAAATGAGAGCCAGAAAAACCAATTATCTTGAGAAGTCATCCGATTATTGAAAAGAAGCAATCTCTCTGTTAGTTAAACTTAAATTTTAACCTGAGAGCCGTTGTCACCCAAGTTTTAAATGTGCCCTACATGCCCAAATCTTATGCCTAATATGTCATCTCAATATTCAGTCAAGCTCTACGGAGCTCTGCTAACAAGATGATATTTGTGTTTAAGTAGAGATGCATCTAATAGATAAGATAAGATAGGCTTTATTGATCTCACAGTGGAAAAATTCAGTTGTCACATTGGCTCAATATTTAAAAGAAGGTGCCAAAAGGAGGAAAAGGTGCATGGGGTATATACAGTGCGTATACAATGGATCAAGGGCAAAAATAAAAATGAATAGTTGGTTTATTAAATGTGGAATGGTCCATTTAAAGCTCAGACCTAAATCCATGTGGGAATCTGACAATAAAAATGGCTTCTCACAGACACACAGTATTCACTTTAAGTCCTCAAAGCTGTTAGAAAATACCCGAAAAAGGATATGTTCCTAACAGTTTGTACTGACCCAATATACAAATAAGAATACAAATAGTAATAAACGCCCAAGTTTTGGGTTTTCTTTTTGTGCGCGTGTGTAAAATGTTAGAAAGTTGTGTCATTTTTCCTCCACTTCATTTCTATGTTATTTCATGTTTGTGTGTGACATAAAAATCCAACAGCATATCCTGAATTTGTGAGAAAATATGGAAAAACGGGTAGGAATACTTTTGTAAAGCACTTTAAAACACACCAAGCCTAACTAAGTAGTTCATACTTGGCACAGGCAGTGTAAACAGAATCCCTGATGATAACATTCTTTGGCTCTGTGGCAGCGTTAGCCAGAGAAACCCTTCCTGTGTGTTTAAACTACTAGTATGTGTTAGCGGTTTAATGCTCAGCCTGAAAAGTTCCTGATTTGTAATTCTTATGTTTTTTTTCTCTCAGGATGATGCGTCTGGCATGTTGCACAGCGTTGCTGTTTGTGTTGAGGCTGTTGGTGGGCCTGCCATGGTACCAGGTTCTTCCAGCCATCCTGATATTCTATCTTGGAAGTGGAGGATGGAACTTTCTGGATATTGTTGCCAAAACAATTGGCAGAGATCTACAGTAAGCATTATAAATATGTCTAGACCTGAAATATATGCAGTTATGCCACATTTCTTTTTTATTTTACAGCCCATAATTAAAATGTTAGCTACAGAACTTTAACATCCTTTGTACAGACGATAAGTCACAGTCATTCGATGCAGTTTTAAAACATATTTTATGTTTTTTGTAGTAAACCATATTTTTTATTCTAGCAGTAATAATAAATAGACACTTAGCAAGCACTAAAGTCTGACTTTCACATTAATCATCAATATTTTAGCACAAATTTCTGATATTATCACTGTCAGTTACAAATTAACAGTGAAATTCTCTTTATGGTTATCGCTTCTCTTGCAATACCTTGCAAAGAATTGGGTTTTATTTTTACACTTTATCACCTAACATGTTGCATCAATGTGCAATGTCAGTTATCACATTTTTAAGTAGAATCACAACGTAATTATGCCTTTAAATTGGTTTTAGCATTATTTCCTTGATTAAAAAAAGGGATAGAAGATAGAAGAAGTCTTCAGTTCTGCAGTTTGACCTCTTTGCTTGCAGTCACACAGCAGGTATTTTGATATGTTTTTGGAAAGAGAAATGCAAAGAATGCAGCTGAAGAGCGGTGTTTTAATTTGTTAACACTGAGCTAATATTTGCAGGAGACTATGGTAATAACTTCCTTTTCTGTCCCTCACACTGCTGTCAAAACGGGAAATTGAAAAGAAAAACTTGTCCTTTTAACAACCTTCTCAGCATAAATGCACCAAAGTAGTCCAACTGGTAATGGTGTCTATTTCTAATAGATGACGCATTAAACAAAGGCTCTGCATCTTTGTCAGTTAGGTGTGTATTTCTCATTTTAATATACATAACACATCTTCCCCTAGTATAGTAGCAAAGCTGGTAAGGTTTTACTGAAATTTCATCATGAGTCAAAGTTAGGAATGCAACAAGTTTTACTTCGACTCTGGCTAAAATTTCCACTGTGACTCAGAGGGTTTTTATAGAATGAAGTAGTTTGGCAAGCGATTGGTATTTGGTTCACTTTTTGTTTTGTGAAAAAGACAGGTATGCTAGAGTGAATGAAAAAAAGGTATGTTTTTTTTAATGTGCATTCTTAAGCTACACGTGACGTAAATCTATATAGATGTAAAGTAGATTAAAAAAGGTACATAAAATGGCTCACTACTACTATTAGTTTAATTCTGTTGCGATTAAAGGAACCCTAATTTATATGTTGATAATCAAATGAGATGCTTGAACCTTGGTAAACTGCATTTTTGTGTCAAACATCAAACTAATCCCTTATGCAATGATAAGCATTTCAGGTAGATTACAGTACAAACATGAAATGACTGGGCCTGTTGGTTTTTATGATGTTTCTGTAATTATTCACCTCTCTGAAGCCTGACTTTGGCTTTTACCTCCGTGCAATAAAAAAAAAGTACGGGGTGTTGCTATTTATTCAGACTTTGCCCCTTTGGTCTGCTTTGTTGCAGGATTTTATGCAAACTTTATAAGGCTTAGAGGTTTATTTGTAGAAATCAAAACACGCTTTTTGTTTGCTTCACTGCAAATGTGGCATGATTCATAAGGCATTACCCAAAGAACGTGCCAAGTTCATCCTTTTGATTGAAAAGATTGTTTCTTGCTTGTTTATTTTTGTTTTTACCCTTTTAAGTTTATTTTTGAAAAACTTGTAAAACAAAGATTTATACACCTCAAATGCAGTTGAGAATAACTTAGTTGTGTTGTACTTAAAGCATTAAATTGGTATTTTTGTTTTTGTTCTACAGCGCTGCCTATGTGTTGCTGCGCGTGAAGCTTAACGTTAAGCGCCACGTCAGAGAGAAGAACACTATTCCTAAGATCTTTGCTGAAACGGTGCAGCGCCATGGGGACAAAACTGCTCTCATCTTTGAGGGGACCGGAGAAAGGTGGACTTTCCGACAGCTGGACGAATATTCCAACCGAGTGGCCAATCTGCTGCTGGATCGAGGCTTTAAGGTATATTTGAAAAGACAGGAAAAAAAAAAATCATGTAAGAAGTAATCTTTTTTTCATAGTAAATCTCATTTCAATTAATAATTTAACTTCTGGTCATTTATGAACTGGACTCAATTATTTCCACTGCTTTAAATATTTTTTTTTCTAATTTAGTGACATGACACCCCTCAGACTTCAATGCTTCCTCTATGAGTTATTTGTTATGCACCATTGTTGTATATAGCTGTGAAGCAACAGAAAACTGATGCACGGTTCTCCTACACTTTGTCACATAAGTTTGAAAAGCGGGACCTGTTTTGGAGAAGAAAAGCATCTCCTCAGCATGTTACTTCTAACATCCCTTAATTTTATATGTAGGAAAGTTCAGCTTCGGTCTAATCTAGTCATAGAACCTCTCATGTGTTAGCTGTATCTCCCATATGGTTTGAGGTTCTCAAACAATTTAACATGGTTATTTTATGGTTGCCTATATCACAGCCGGAAAGGGCGACTCAGATACATTGATGGTTTTGGTTCACCTTAATATTTTTAAGTGCCCTGCATATAACTCCAACTTACTAAAAAAAAAAAA